CTTGCCACTTTCCCCCCCCCCCACACACTTGTCCCCCATTGTCCCTCCCCCTACCCCTGCAGCCTCAGTTTGCCTTGATTCCCCCTTTGCCTGTTCCCCACTCAAGTCCTTTCCATGCTGCTTCTGTCTTTTGCAGCCTCAGATCCCTGCTCCACCTTCCCCCTGCCTGCCCCTTCCCCTTTGCTCTGCATCACCTTTGCTCTGCATCACCTGGCTCCATCCCTACTGTAGCCTGGGGCATGGAGCATAGCTCCAGCCTGGCCCCATAGCAGAAGCATGGAGCTGGCACCCAGCACTATACATGATCCAGGTTGCAGTGAGGGCAGAACTTGCTGGCATGGAGCAAAGGTAAGGAGAAGTGCAGCAGAGCAGAAGAAATGGAGAATGGCAGGGGGGGGGGGGGGGGGAGAGGCAGTGGGGGGGGGGACAGGAACCAGCTGTGGTTGTGGCTGCAGCTGCAGTTCCACCTTCAGCTCCAACCCCAGGTTTGGGCCAGAGCCACCGCAGCTGCTTGCCCTCCTGCTCTCCCACCTCCTCCTCCCCTGCCACCACACACTTCCTCATAATTGACTGTAAGACAAGGGTCTTTTTTCCCATGTTAAATGAGCAGAAAAACCTTTTATAATAATCAAGTAAATACGGTATTCCATCTCTAATGTGTAAGTCAATAATCAGTGGCTAACTTATTGAATCTCCCTCCAGCATGGAATAGCCTGAAAGGGCTCATGGTGCGAACATATACTGTCTTCTGTAAAGCTGCATTTGTACTGGGCTTATTTTTAATATACTGAAGTTAATTTCAACTCCCGAATGATACCTGGTCTCTTTCATTATACGATTGTCAATTACAGCCAACACACAGCTTGATAGCATCAGTATGTTATCCCCATATTATTTTTTTGGGTTGCTAACCAGAATTGGTGATAAATGGAGTTTATTTTCATAGTAAAAATGTTTTTTGATAAACATCAAACCCAGTGTTTTTGTCAGAAACAGTATTTTAGTCAAAAAAATGAATTTCTTAAGTTCTAAAATACCTCTGCAGCACTTCCTAGGAATTGCTTTTTGGGTTCCTCATGCTCCCATTATCTTCTATATAGTCTTCCTGGTTGGAATTCACTTTCCACAATACATCCAGTCTCTACTTTTGGGGAAAAGTAGTACATCAAGACAGTCACAAGGTTACAATCGATCTCCAGCTAGAAGGGCCTGGTCGATAGAGGCAGGTACGAGTATGGGGCAACCAATTCTGACTCCCATACACCAATATTGCAGCATTTCAGTTTCAAAATACTAGTTTCTGGTCAACATGTATACATGCACAACATGCATGTTTGTTTGTTTCTAAACATTCACTTTTAATTTTTACTAAAAATCAACATTTTTGACAACCTGATACTTTTGTGAGAAAGTATTTGTTTGAAAAATCATATATTATTGAAAAAAAATATTTTTGATGGGAAATCAAAAAATATTTGATCCTCCTGGCCTTCCAGCCTTACAATCTATGAATCTTATATTATCTTCAGGGCCTCATTGGCTAGGAACTGACATTACACATAAACCAGTTTAAGTCATCAGAAACTGGTTTACGCCTGTAACAGAATATAAGTTCAGTGCACATAAACCAGTTTCAAAAGGGCTGAGACTGGTTTAAGATAAATCTGGTTGAATATAGTATCGGACTTAACTGATTTGGGTCAAGCTGGTTTATGAAACTTCTATCCCAGACCACTTCCTGGTTTAAGTTAAATCAGAGTCCTCCACCATGCTCTGTAGACCTGGGCTGGGCTGTCTGTTCCAGCCAAGCAGGGTTGGCCCCACCCCTCTCTTCCCTATCCAGAGCACTATCACTGCTCTGGCTGGCTGAGAAAAAGATGGGGATGGGAAACCCTGCACTGGAGTGCTGCTGGGTCTGCCTGGCAAGGGGGCAGCAGCCCTTGCCAGGTGTCCCTATCCCCTAAACCCCCTCACTGCTCCAGTGCCAGAAGCGATGGCAGGGCCAGACCCCAGTAGCCTGAGGGGAAGCAGAGGTTTAATCCTCGCATTGAGGGCAGGGCAGCACAGGCACCAATAGGCTCTGATAGGCACTGATAGGGTCCATTGCCTCCCCCCACCACTGTCCACACCCCTGACCTGTAGAAGCTTGTCCCACAGCCCAGGAGTGCAGCCCAGTCCAGCCTGGCCCTGAGGCCCAGGAGAGTAGGCAGTGACTGGGCCACGGCAGTACACCCCTTCTCCTGGTAGTGGAGAGAACCATTGCGGCAGGCAGAGGTGAGGCACCTGTCACCTACTGCCTGCTTATGGTGCTGTTGGGTGCCTGGGGTGGGCTGCCACAAGCCAGTTGCTGCCTAAGCCCCTGGGCCACAGAGGCAGGCCAAACCGACCTGCACTCCTGGCCCACAGGGCCAGCCTGGACCAGATTGTGACAGTCCATTGCCTCTCCCAGCCACTGCCCAAGACCCTGGCCCACCACAACCTACCCTGAGTGCCTGGTGCTACCACAAGCAGGTGGCAGGTGATTCAGCTGTGCTCACAGCAATAGTTTAGGGAGGGGTTGGGGAGCCACTGCAGCCCTCTTGTAAACCATGGCCCCCATGTGGGGCTGGAGGTGGCAGGTACTGAAACGCCCCCCCTCGGGCTGCCCCAGCCCAGGAGGAACCAGTTAGAGTGGCTTCCCCCCTCGCTGCACCCAGGTCACATCCCTCCTCCCCACAGCCAGCTGGCCACTCCTTGGAGGGACTCAGCCTAGGACACTGTGCTGGTGCCCCCTCGCTGCTGCTACCTGCCATGGGGGATTAAACCCCACCCCTTCCCTCAGGCTACTAGCATCCAGCTACTGCAGCCCCAGGTGCATGAGCTAAGCCTGTCAGTGCTCACACCACCAACCCCCCTGCAATGAGGGGATTAAACCTCCCTTTCCCTCAGGCTACTGGGGTCTGGCCCCACCCCTGCTGCCAGCCAGTGAGTGAGCAACGATCGGAGGGGGGCTGGGAACCCCTGACAGGCTGTTTCCCCCTGCCCCACCAGGCAGACCCCCAGCTGGGGTCTCTGTAGGCCAGGGTGGGGAGTTTAAACATCTCCCCAGTCATACTTAGGCTTGTCTAAGCCTTGCCACACCCCCTCTAGCTTAGTTTCCCTCCAGCCAAGGGCTCACTCTAGCATCCCTCAGCTTCTGACCTGAGCCACTGTAGGCATGTGCCTGCATTTCCAGAGTCAAAAGTGAATGTCTGTTCACTACCTTATTGGTTCAGTCTACTCGGGTTAGACTAACCTGCAAAGAATCAATTCAGGCTCCAGCTTTTTTAAAGCCTGTCCCTAGTTATTAATTCTACATACACACTAAAAAAAAAAGATATCCTCCATGTTTTGGGGGTATAGGTTGTAGCTATGTTGGTAAGAACATAAGCAGACACAGGTTTTTTTGGGTAAATCCAATATCTTTTATTAGACTAAGTAAAGTTACTTAAATGTCATTATGCCAGGGGCATCAACACATGTAATTAATGCAACTGAATACACTCCAGCTCAATTTCAGCCCGAGTAAATTAATTCCAATGTTGCCATGTACGTGTGCATTTAAGTTCAGGAATTTACTGTGCTTCCAGATACCACTTGTATCTGATGGGACTATCCAGCGCTGCAGTAAATTAGTCTATTGAACCCTAATTGTTACACATGTGTAGACAGTGATACTTTACTGTGCAGCAAATTAGTGTACTGCATAGTAAGGCATTTTGTGTAAACATGCCCAGCAAGAACTCAAGTTCCCTAGGCTTCTTCAAACAATAGTGTTGAAATAGCCTCTGCTATTAACGACTGCTTTCTATTATAGTCTTCAAATGTCTCAACCTTCATATTTTCTAAGTTAAATATTTCTTTTGCATTATTTGCTCTTCCAACACTTCCTAAGTTAATGTCACCTGTGGCTTCCATTTATGTTTTTCAGATCATTAATAGGACCCCATTCTATCAACAGTTCATAGAATCATAGAAGTAGGGTCGGAAGGGACCTTGTAGATCTTCAAGTCTGACCCCCTGCCTGGGCAGGAGGGAAACTGGGCTCAACAGACCCCAGCCAGGTAGGCATCAAGCCGCTTCTTAAAGACCCCCAGGGTAGGAGCCAGCACCACTTCGCTTGGAAGTTGGTTCCAGATCCTAGCCGCCCTAACTCTGAAGTAGTTCTTATGGATGTCTAATCTAAACCTACTCTCCAACAACTTGTGGCCATTATTCCTTGTTATCCCAGGGGGTGCTAGGGGAAACAAGGTCTCCCCCAAACCCTTCTGGTCCCCCCTAGTGAGTTTATAGATGGTCACCAGGTCCCCCCTCAGCCTTCTCTTGTGAAGGCTAAACAGGTTCAGGTCCTGTAGCCTCTCATTGTAAGTTCTGCCCTGCTGTCCCCGGATCATGCGGGTGGCCCTCCTCTGGACCCTCTCAATGTTGTCCACATCCCTCTTGAAATGGGGTGCCCAGAACTGGACACAGTACTCCAGCTGTGGCCTGACCAGTGTTGCGTAGAGGGAGAGGATCACCTCCTTGGCCCTACTTGAGATGCACCTGTGGATGCACGATAAGACAAGGCTCTCACTGGGATTGTAGAGAAACAGCAGCAGGACGCCAGACTACCAAGCGTAGATCCTGAGATGGTGCAGAGGCACTTGGAGGAACTGGATGCCTTTAAGTCGGCAGGCCCAGATGAGCTCCATCCGAGGGTACTGAAGGCACTGGCTGACGTCATTGTGCAGCTACTGGCGGGAATATTTGAACACTCATGGCACACGGGCCAGGTCCCGGAGGCCTGGAAAAGGACCAATGTGGTCCCCATTTTCAAGAAGGGGATGAAGGAGGACCCAGGCAACTATAGGCCAGTCAGTCTAACCTCCATGCTAGGAAAAGTCTTTGAAAAAATTATCAAGGCTTACATTTGCGAGAGCCCGGCAGGAAAAATTATGCTGAGGGGAAACCAGCACGGGTTCATAGCAGGTAGATCATGCCTGACTAATCTAGTCTCTTTTTATGACCAGGTTA